AGTTGAAGAGAATTTTGATATAAAAGCGTCATCAGTTAAACTGTTTTTCTCCCGGAGAGAGAAGCCTGTTTCTGGTGTAGCTACAGAGTCAGTTGAACGGACAAACACCAATGATAGACTGGAAAAGACTTCTTGTGAGAAGATAGGATTGAGTGGTAAAGTTAAAGAAAATGTGGACATAAAAGTGTCATTAGCTAAACAGGAAAACACTTCTGGTGATAGGATAGGTAGTTTTGGTAAGTCTTTTGTCAATCAAGTCAAAGTTGATGAAAAATTAAAATCCATCAAGGATTTGGGTGAGTCAGATGAGAGGCCATATAAGAGAGTAAAGCTTGATAGTTCTGTGAAAGTCTCCAATGACAAGAACAAGAATGATGTGCTTGATCCAAACTGTGATTCTGATGGAAATAATTCAAAGCCCTTATTGCCAAATATAACTGCTTCTGAAAATAATTGAGATGTGCTACAGATCCTTTTGGGACAGCCTAAAACTCTTCCAAGAAGCTGAAGGCTGATGATAAACTCACAAAATGTACTAATTGCAAGTTGCCCAAAGAATCTCCTGCATGGCTTCCAAATGATGGTATTAAAACTGGTGATAAAGCACTGGAAGTTGCCAGTAGGCCCGATTCTGTAAGTAGGAAAATGGGTTGTAAACTTGTACTGCATATTAAGCTCAAAGCAAAGAGATTGGAATTTATTTGATAAGAAAGATGTGATTACTTTGCAAAATTTTAACACATATTATTCAAATATCTTAATTTTGAAATTCTATTGTTTTGAAGTAATAATTTTGTCGAACTTCTGGTATTATTATATAGATGATGGATAAATCTTATAAAACCTATCTTTTCTTTGTTCCCCTCACATTGGAAAGTAAAATTTTCCTCCTGAATTAATGCTTGTTTTAATAAATAAAAACACTGGCCCTCAAATATTAATTTCTTTTTAACATGTAAATGAAAGAATGGTGTAGTTTTTAATTTTTTTGCTACCCTGATTCTTGCTTTTACTCAAATCTTATTTTTCAATGAAAAAGTTTCATTTTCAAGTCATCCTCGTTGTGTCCTCCGCTGTATCATGCATGCATGTTTCTGCTTTCCCCCCTTTTGTATATGTACTTACTACTGTCCTGTTATCCCATTGTTGCTCTCCTTGATGTGAAAAATCTTGTGAAGATGAGATTATTTTAAGTTCTTACATTTTCTCTTATACATGCATTTTGGTAGGATAGGAGCAAATGGTTTGCAGAACTTGTAAGTACTCCTTTGTCACTCCCTCTGCGATTGTTTAAATTAGTTTCAGCTGTCTACTTTGAATGTTCTCATGCTTGGCGAAATTGGTGTACAATCTTTAAACTGATCTATAAACTGCATCATACATTGTTTCAGCCTTGGGTTATTATTGTTTGCTTCAAGTGATTTTTGAAAATTGTTGTGCTGTTGTGTCTGTGTCATTAATCTTCATGTCCTATGTCCTTGTTTGTGATTCCTGTCCTAGTTTATCAAAATACCAATATTTAGCACCTTATCTAGAAGTAAAAGAAACCTTTTCTGGTCCCCTGAAATATAGCATGCAATTGATCCATTGTGCATTTAAGGAAATTAGTTTGTTCATGTTGTAGGTCAAGCTTTTGCTATATTCAGAACAAGTAGCTGAAGAGGTTGTAACAAAATTGGATAAGGGATGCTTGTTACTACGAAATCAGAGGTATGGATGCAACCATTATCAATCAGTGTTGCTGTGTATTTATAATTGTAGTCAATAACCCAGTGTCATGCTTTTTGAATCAGTGGGTTCAACTGCCATTGTCAAGCTATGCTGTGGTTACTAGTGCTCGTGTCAGTTAGAGTATGCCACATCACATACTAGTGTGCCCCTTCGATGTTGGGTTTGAAAAGTTTCTCTTCACAAGAGCTAGTTTTAGATCTTCGGTATATGATCTCATTTCTCTAGCGCTTTCACCTCTTTCTGTCAGCCGCTCCTTACCCCTTTCAATTGTGTACTTATGTATTTTACCTGTTTATACCTTATTTCTAGTCTATGCTGGTCCGATTTTATGGTAAGTTTCTACCTTATTCATAACTTGTAGATCAATTTGCAGCATTTAGAACAGGCCTTATGAGCACTGAGCATACTCCTTTTTCGCTTTTCTTTAACTTTGTTTCTTGTTGTGTGGGCCACTTGTTGCCAGCATGCCAAATCCTTGTTTTCCAAGGAAGCAGTGAACTTTTGCAGGCCATCTCATTGTTGATAAACTCAAACCCCAATGGGAGATGGTACCTATTTCTCCTCTCCCTCTTAGGTTATAGATGTGTGTTTGGTGTTATAGCATGCTTGCTTGGTTACACACACCTGCGGCCACATGGATGTAGTAAATCTGACTTATTTAGTGATTTCTTTTTCCTTTTCTATTTCTGTTAATTGGTTTCTGGGTGTTCCTTTTTTTTCCACAAAGAAGCGGTATCTATTTCACTCTCTTCCCATTCTAACACACTTGCATATGATACGGCCATGGAATGGTGCTTACGGATAGAATGATCTGATCAGTTCTGGAGAAGATTATATCAGTTCTGTTATCCTTTATTTGTGTATCCACCCGTTATTGCTTTGTGTTTGCTAAACCAGGTATTTTGGAATTTTTAGCGACAAGTGAAAGAGTTGGAAAAACTGAAGGCTAGCTGTAAGTCCAAATGAGCGCTAATAATTTTCTGCTTCACCTAATTTTGGTAAATATTTCCAAAACAACATACTACTCGCTTCTCTTGTTAGCATATTGTGCATTTCTTTATGAATGACATGGCTGCTAATGTTCTGTATAGTTTGTCTTTGAATTAAAAGGAAGTATTCTTGCGAAGCAAGCCACCAATGTGGAGTTTTTGTTCTGACTATCTGATATGAGGGTATAGTCTCTGTGACTCTATTCCACTTCCCTACTTTTTGCCGTTATTTTCTTGTTTTAGTTAGTCCATTAGCAATTTGGTGCTGCATGCAAAATTGGTTCTCTTCAGTTGGAAACTTTGTGCGAGTGTTCTGAAACCTTCAATGTGAAGCTTTTGATAATAATGGTTTTGTTTCCCAAGTTTATAAGCCATTCGTGTTGCCCTCTTTTTCGCAAGGTGAGTTTTTTTTTTTTTTTTTTCTCCTCTAGCTCTTTAGTTATGTTTCCTCCTGCTGCTGACTACCGAATTACCTGCATGCATTTTGTCTGCCCTTCACTTTTCAGTAGAAAGTGGACAGTTTCACTACAGGTTTTTGTTGTTGGCTTATTTAACTAGACACTGACATTGACTTGGGGCTTATTTTGTTCTCATTGAACCCTCGGTGCGGCGCGATTAAACCACTTTTTTCTCAATCACACTATATGACATGTTTGGATAACAAAAGTTACGGTGCTGGGTACTGGAGCTTCAAAGGTTCAGTGGACAACCGGAGTCCCAATTGAATTTCTTTTATCTTCATTATTTTTTTTTATTTTTATAATGTTCCTAATAATAAAAATATTATTTGATATAAAAATAATTTCATTTATTTTTTACATATTAACAAAAATATCATTTGATTTAAATAATTTAAATAATTTATTAATTAAAAAAAAATCAAATATACATTATCAATGTTATGATATACACGTTTAAATTTAATATTTTTAATGATTTTTTTTAATTTTTTATCTCACCATTATTATTGTATTTGTATATAAATACATATTTTATTATTAATTTTAATATAACTGTTATCATAATTAATTTTATTATAATTTTTAATTTTATTTTTGTCAAAATTAATCTTATCGATAATTCAAATAGACTCTTAATTTGCAAAGAAGAAAATTAATTATCTCATTCTGACATCCAGGATTCTAGAGGTCATACTAACAATCCTACGAATATTCTATGAAAAAGAGAGCAGGGAAACTGTTCTTCAAGCCAAGAAGATGAACGGGGTTCGAAATTCAAGAGTGAGTCGTTTTCTTTGTAGAATGGTGTTGGGAGACAGAATTTTTCAATATAATTTCGCTTATAATTAGTAGTATAAGACATCTGGCTGGCGGACGAAATCTTGTTGCATAGCCTACCTTTGGAGTTTATTATCAGCTCACGTAATACCTAATGAATGCATGGAGATTATTCGTTGTTAAATTATTCTTTTGCTTGGTCTATTTCATTTTATCTTTTCTGCATGAACCATTTATATAGCTGTACTTGAGAGCCCCGAAAAGAAAAAGAAAGAAAACCGAGTGGAGAAATTATAGAGCAATTTATAGACATTCTGATTCATCCAAAACTGATGGGTGCTGAAAGCCGTCCAGGAAGAGGTGAGGATGTGATGCCAGGTAAGACTTGCGAGCCATAAAGCAAGCGTAAAAATAGAGATTACAGATACAAGGACAGCGATTGCAAACGCATACTCCACTATTATCACTTCTCATTCTCACTGCTGTGCACACCTCTCTGTACTAGCATGGCAGTATCCCACTCTTTTTTGCTCCACGTCACTCCCCCCGCGCCCCCCCAAAAAAAAAATCCCAATCCCTCTTTTCCACTTTGTCTCATTTCGAACCCAAACACAATAAAGATAAAAAAATTATAACGAACTACAAGTAGTTAGAATTCAATTCTGCATGATGACCTATCTTAAACCAGATTTCACATTTAAGTTAGAATCTATTGGCTTCAGCCGACTTCCAGTAAGCTTATCAAAAAAATATTGACAAATAATGTTTTGCATATGGGCTATTCGCATATTTCATCCAACTAAAAATAATATGAACTTAAGTTACTTTAACTCTATGTCCAGAAGCTTCCCTTGCCTGTCCAGCACCTTGGGTCCTTCTGGATGTGGTGCGGGCAGCTTGTATGACAGGCTTTGGTCTCATGGGCTGGCCTGCAAGTCGGGCGGGCGTTCTGAGCTTGTTTGCTAGGCTTTACGCACAGATACCCACCAGCACGCCTGGTCTGCGAGCCTCAAACTCTGGCTCGCCTGCTGGTCTGCCTGATGTGTCTGACGCGCCCGCCCCAGGGCGTGACATTTGTGGCTGGCTATTCTGGCTGCGCCATTTCCTTGAAGAACACTGGCGTTGCCTTGAGTGACTACGGGGTGACTACGGCCTTGAAGAAGCTAAAAAACCTCTTGAACGCGACCATTAGATCCCTCCTCTTGACTCTTCTCCTCAACCGCCTCCAATGATCGATAACCTCCCTCCACAGCCTCCACTTCCTAACTTCTCTCCAGCCCCGTTGCCCCCGTAAAACGCGCCGTCAGTGTGGCTGCAATGCGTGTCAAAGAGTCGTAAGGAGTTTGATTCTTCCCTAGCTATTGAAGAAGAAGAGGACGAAGAAGAAGGTTAAGAACATCATCTCGGAAACGAGGTGAGTGAAAATAATAATTATGAAGATTTCAGAAAAGATTCACGAGGACTCTGGAGAACAACAATGTGAGCCCCCATCCTCCTCTGATGCCCGAAGCTAAAAACGTGGCTTGCGATTACTTCTTTATAGTCGATGATAACATGCTAGATCTGAGCTTGGATTTGGACAACAACCACAATGAAACTGACAGTAGAAATGCTGATGCTTTAAAGAACAATGTCAGTGGTGTGGGGTTTAGTGACCATGATGGAGTTGATAGTAACATTGAGCCGAAGACTTCGGAGATGCCGGAGGAGAAGAGGGCGATGGCAGTGGAGGTTGATGACAAAGGGAAGCAGCCGGCTCATATTGAGCATTGAAAACGGCTCCATCAGATTTCAGGACAATGGTGAAGGCTGTTTCTAGTGTGAATTTGATGCAGGTTTTGAATGAGATTGATGATCATTTCTTGAAAGCCTCAGAGACTGCTCAAAAGGTTTTTAAGTTGCTGGAGGCCACAAGGTTGCATTGTCATTCCAATTTTGCTGATAATCAAGGTAGGTAATATGCTTGTTTTTCTGTATTACTTTGGTCTTAAGTTATGTGAATGATTGTTAATTTGCTAATAAGTTTTGGCTGTTACAATTTGAGCTTTTTCATGGTTGATATTTTGCGATCAGTGTGTTTGTGAAGTCTGGAATTTGTCAACATCTTTACTTTGAAAGATTGAAGCTCGATGTCTGTTTAGATCTGAAAAAAGAAAAAAAATTGTTATTTTGAATGATTTAATGGACTTTTTTTTTTTTTTTATATATATATATATAAGATGGCTTTACATTTTGATCTTGTTGTCCTCAGCTTTATGTGAGAATCTGACCTTGACCTTAGATCTTTCTACTTTATTGTTTAGAAAAAAAAAAGGCTGCTATTTTTTGGGGGGTCAAATGGTGCTTAGTTGACAATTCTAAAGTTACTAATATTATAGTTTGGTATTTGAAAGGGTGATAGTCATCACGTTCCCAGCAGAAAAATGCACATTTAGCTTTGAAAGTAAAAAAAATAATTCTCTGTTGGTTTGAGGTTTAAGAATATGTCTATCCAGGTCGTAGAAATTCTGGATTTTGGCTCATAATCTTGTCTTGTAGGTTGTAATTGCAGTTATAATGACAAATGCTTTAATGTGTTACATTGCGGACATTTATTGATCATATTAGTGATCCTGTTGATTGTAGGACATATTGATCATTCTGTAAGGGTAATGCATGTCATTACATGGAATAGGTCTTTCAGAGGTATGGCAAATGGTGAAAATGGAAAGGATGAATTTGATTCAAAAGAGTATCAGATTCATGTCACTGTTCTGGATAAGTTGCTGGCATGGGAAAAGAAACTTTATGATGACGTAAAGGTACACTTTAAATCTTGGGTTTATCCGTTTCTCTCCTTCAATTTTATATGGCGAGCTGCTTGCCGTGGCAATCTATATTGCTTCCTAAACGAACACCTTTCTGTTTAAATTTGGATAAGTTCTATCCTATGTAGATAATAGGCATGTCAATATTAAGTTCCCTATTAATCAATTGCAAAGCTCATTTCTGCTAAATTTATTGCATAAATGAAAGATCATTTTGATTTTAATATTGGTAAGTTATTCTTTTTCATGTTTTTGACCTTGTTCTCAATCTTATGAAAATTTGGTCCCTGTTGTAGCAGGGAGAGCTGATGAAGATCGAGTACAAAAGGAAGGTTGCTTTGTTAAACAAGCAAAAGAAGCGTGGAGCTAGTGCTAAATCAATGGAGCAAACAAAAGCGGCTGTAAGTCATTTACACACAAGATACATAGTTGACATGCAGTCCATGGATTCAACAGTTTCAGAAGTTAACCAATTACGTGATGAGCAGTTGTACCGTGACTTCTTATGCTTGTTGATGAGTAAGTTTTCCTTAAAAAAAAAAAAAAGCCATATGTTGCTTTTAATGTTGCCGCATATGGAAAAATTAAAAAATAGAGCTGTATAAAAAACTAAGAGTAAAACTGAACGTATATTGAAAAACTTTTCTTAAGAATAATACAAACACCTTAGGTTTATATACAACTAATTAAAAGGTAAACTAGAAAACTAAATCTTCTTAAAACTGATCCTATAATTGAGGGATTGTCTATCCCAATTTTTTATCATTAATTTAGGAATACAAATATAAATATACAGATAACAAGATTACAACCAATTGTAACTAAGTGTTTTTTCACACTCCTCCTCAAGTTGGTGAATAGGTGTTTTTCATTTCTAGCTTGAAAATAATTTCCTAAAATGTTGCATGACAAAGACCTTAAGTCAATACATTTGCAAGTTGACCTTTGGTTGATAGATACGGTGTATAAATCAACTCACTGTCTAGTTTCTCCTTCATGAAGTGTCTGTCTACTTCGATGTGTTTTGTTCTGTCATGCTGCATAGGATTGTGTGCAATGTTTATTGCAGACTTGTTATCACAGTAGAGTCTTATCGATCTATTTCACTTGATCTTCAAGTCTTCTAAGATAATTTTTAACTATAGTAGTTTACAAATTTCTTGAGCCATTGCTCTAAACTCTACTTTAACTTGATCTTGCCACCACATGTTTTTTACTCAAAGTCACAAGATTACCATCTAGGAAAGTGCAGTAGCCTAAGGTTAATCTTCTATTAGTTATTGAACTACATAATCCGTATATGTAAATGCCTCTAGAACTAGCCCTAAATTTTTTTCGACAAGATACCAAGATTACCACTTAGGAAAGTGTAGTAACTAGAGGTTGATCTTCTATTAGTTATTGAACTTACATAATCCACCTATGTATATGTTTTTAAAACCAGCTTCGAATTTCTTTTGAACAAGATGCCTTTCTCATGATTGACTTTCAAATAGTGTAATACACGATAGATAGCCTATATGTACATTTCTTTAAGACTATACATAAATTGACTTATCACATTTACAACATATGCTATATCAAGTCTAGTATGTGAAAGATAAACGAGTCTTCCAACTAATCTTTGGTATATATCTCTATCATAACAGCATCTTCATTAGCTTTTCTGAGTTTATGATTGCGATTTATAAAGGTATTTACAGGTTTACATGCGAGCTTTTCAATTTTTTTCAAAAGATCCATAACATATTTATATTGTGAGATAAAAATACTATGCTATGAGTGAGCTACTTTAATTCCTAGAAAGTTCTTCAATCTTTCTATCTCTTTTATTTCAAATTCTCTAGTCAAACACTATTTTGGAGATTTTCTCTCTTTTTCACCATTTTCGATTACAATTATATCATCAACATACACTAATAAAACTGTGACTCCCTGAATCTGAGTGCTTGATAAACAATGTGTAATCTCCTTGACTCTATTTATATCCTATTGTTAGCATCACTTTGGCAATCTTCTAAACCAAGCCTTAGGAGATTGTTTAAGGCCATATAAAGCCTTTTTCAGCTTACGTTTTTGTTTACTTCTAGATGATTTTCAAATTTCGGTAAAACTTTTTATATATTTTTTCTTTCAAATCACCATTTAGAAAGGCATTCTTTACATCAAATCGTTGAAGCTGCAATTTTAATTTACAGCCAAGGATAACAAAATCTAACTTTATTCATCTTGGCAATTGGAGTGAAAGTTTTTTAATAATCCACTCTATAAGTTTGAGTTAGCCCTTAGCCACCAACATGACCTTATACTTTTCAACAATACTATCTGCCTTATATTTTACATTGAAAACTCATTTGCACCAAACTAAAATTTTTCCTTTAAATAGCTCTACCAATTCCATGTCTTATTTTTCTGTAAGGTTTTCATTTCTATTTTCATGGCTTGCCTTTATTTCTCACTGGATAATACCTTAGATAATTTAGTTGAAATAGAAATAGTGTTTAGGCTCATAAGGGAATTTTTATGGGATGGTGCGAATTTTTCAAATGACAAAAAATTAAAGATTGGGTATAGTGAATGATTAGTACATTATCTAGGTTTCTTTCTTAATGGCAATAGGTAGATCATAATCACTAATTTTAGTTTTAGAAGATTTATGTTCATTTTGAGAAATAAAGTAAGACATTGTAGTTGCCTTATTTCTAGAGTTAGGATGAGGTTCTTAAACTTACATCGGTTTAGGAGATGAAACTTTTCTTCTTGAGTACACCTGTAATTCTTTCATAGAATTAAGAACAATATTAGCTTTTGTCACAATTTTTGTGTTTGGAATGGTTTCGTACTCAAATTTAGTGTTTGACTTGGACTAAGAAGAAATAGTTTAGACTAAAAAGAATTAATAGGTTAAAATGTTGAAGAGAAGGACAAGTAAAGCAAAAAAAGTTTTTATCTTTGTTTTCCATGAATAAAGTCTCCCATAGAAGAGAAGGTTAAGTAAAAAATGGTTTACTTTCTTCAAAAATGATATCTATAGACATGTAAAATTTTTTGTTAAAAGGATGATAACATTTTACCCTTTTTGAGCTGATGAATATCCCATAAAAGTACACTTAATTACTAGGATTCAACTTTCTTATTATGACTATGAACATGAACAAACGATGTACAATCAAATATCTAAAGTGTGAGCTTGTTTATGGTATTAAATTTAAGATAGAATTGTAAGAATAGTTTTATAGAATTTTAAATCTCAAAACCCTTGAAGATAATCTATTTATAATATGTGTGGCAGTGAGAACAGATTTCCCCCAATAAAATTTGGATACATTTGCTTAAAAAAGTAAGGTTCAAGTTGTGATTAGTAAATGATTATTTTTTCTCTTTATCACTCAATTATACTATAGAGTATTAACACAAGATGACTCATAGATAATCTTTTCTTTTTGGAAATAAGTAGATAGATTATGATTGAAATAGTCTCTTACATTATTAGAGCTATTAACAATCTCTTAATTTTCACTTCAAATTAATTTTGAATCGTGTTTTGAAAGCTTAAAAACACACATTTCATATTTGATTTGGATTTAAGTAAAAATATCTAAGAGACCTTGGCACAATCCTCTATGAAAGAAACAAACCACTTTACACAAAAAATATTAAAAATTATAGAGGGTTTCCATGTCACTATGAATTAAATAAAAATGAGTAAAACTTCTTTTGTTACTAATTAGAAAATACATATGTCTATGCTTTTCAAATTCATAAACATCATAATGAAAATTTCAACATTTAATCCTTTGAATAAAGAAGAAAACATATTTTTCAAAGTTCCAAAATAAGTATGACCAAGAAAAAAATGATAAAGCCAGATTTTATCTTTATTAGGAGATTTTTCATAAAGAAATGACAAAAGTAAATTATTTTTAATATTACTTGTGTTATTTGATGTCTTAAGATAGTATAGTTCATCATTTTTTTTAGCAAGTCAAATCTTTTTTTCCAAACTTTGGCCTTGAAATTCACAATAAAAAGTATAAATAGTCACTTGCAGTATAGTTTTTTTAGTAAGTTTTTGTATAGATATAAGATTAGTTGACAATTGAGGAACATGGAGAATATTTTTAAGAATAAATGAGGGATTAATTTCAAAATCTCCTCATCCTGCTATCGTAGTAAATGAACCATTTGTAACAATAATTTTCATATGACTAGGACACAGAGTATATGTACTAACTTTTGTAAAAAATGTGTCATGTGATTTGTGGCTCTTAAGTCAATAATTTAAGAATTTATAATAAGCTTAATCGAGACATTTAATTCATAATGTGAAAAAACTAAAAAATAAAATTGTATGAAAAACTAAGAGTAAAACTGAATGTATATTAAAAAACTACTCATAAAGAATTATATAAGCACCTTAGGTTTATATATAACTAATTAGTGGGTAAATTAAGAAACTAAATCTTTTTAAAACGATCTTATAATTGAAAGATTATCTATCCTAATTTTTTGTCCTTAATTTTAGGGATACAAATATTTAATTCTAAAGATACAAATATTTAATTGTAAAGATACAAATATAAATATACAGATTACAAGATTACAATCAACTGTAAATAAATGCTTTCTCACACTCCCCCTCAAACTGGTGAATATGTATTTTTCGTTATCAGCTTGAAAATAATTTTTCTTGAAATATTGCACTGTTAAGGTCTTTAGTCAACACATCTACAAGTAGACCCTTGGTTGATATATATGGTATACAAATCAACCAATTTTCTAGTTTCTCTTTATAAAACGTTGGTCTACTTCAATATGTTTTGTTCTGTCATATTGCACAACATTGTGTGCAATACTTATTATAAACTTGTTATCACAATAGAGTTTTATTAGTCTATCCCACTTGATCTTTAAATTTTTTAGGATAATCTTTAATTATAATAGTTCACAAATTCCTTGAGTCATCGCTTTAAACTTTGCTTTAGTAGTTGATGTTACCACCACATTATGTTTTTTACTCCTTCAAGTCATAAGATTATCACATAAAAAAATACAATAGCCTGAGGTAGATCTTTATCAATTACTAAACTTGTAGAATCAGCATCTGTATATGCCTTTAGAATTAGGGTTGAATTTCTTTTGAATAAGATACCTTTCTCTATATTGGTCTTCAAATAGTGTAATACATGGTAGATAGCCTGTAGGTGCACTTCTTTATACTTTACATAAATTGACTTATACACTCGCAGCATATACTTATCAGCTCTAGTATGTGAGAGATAAATAAGTTTTTCAACTAATATTTGGTACATCTTTTTATCTACAGTAGCATCTTTATTAGCTTATCCAAGTTTATGATTAGGATCTATAATGGTATTTACAAGTTTACATGCGAGTTTTTGAGTTTCTTTCAGAAGATCTATCATATGTTTCTATTATAAGATGAAAATATGATGCCGTGAGTGAGCCACTTGAATTCCTAAGAAGTACTTCAATCTCCTTAGTTTTTTTATCTCAAA